TCAAACCCTGAGTTCTGACATCTACTGAAATTATTTACAATTTCCCTTGCAGCTCTACCCTTGACCTTTCTTTTCTGAATCCTTCCAAACCTGTGAATGCCAGTTTTAATTAAAAGAGAGATGAAGAGATTTCATCAGCACAAATCTCATTCTTACTTTACTCTTCAATATAAATAACTTTTCATCCTGTTCAAGTGCCCATTTTGTTGCTAACCAACCTTTGCTGAGCAATCTACTCAATCATCTTTCACTTGTTGCTTGTTTTTAACATTTAATTCAGTTCTCCATTCTACATCCTATTCAATTTCTTTATCACTTTCTTCCATGGTTTGCTGGTCGTTTTGTTGACACATTCTGTATATGAACCCAAACTGCCTTATCTTTTTATGCATTGATTTTTATGCTCTGATCTTCTATTTTGTTGTGCTTTGTTCTCCTAATACTAGCTTACTCTTTAAAACTCCAATTTTATGCTCTTCCTGTCTTTTTTGTTGCCTAAAACTAAGGGCCCTTCCAGACAGACCCTATATCCCTGAATCTGATCTCAGTTTTTCTGATTATCCCAGATTATCTGGCAGTGCAGACTCATATAATCCAGTTTAAAGCAGAAAACTTGGAATCCAGTCCTGGGATAAAGGACCTGACTGGAAGGGTTCTTAGTTTCTTCCCTCTTAACATTTATTTGGTCACTTTCCTCACAGTTATTGTTAACATTTCCTCATTCCCCATGTGCTTCCAGGTTGGAGTCTCTAATAGCTTTCTTTATCTGAAGTTGAATCCACACCAGAAAATTAATTCATCCTTACCTTGATCCCATTTCTAGTTGAACACACAAGGTTCCTCTGGCTTTGAAGTGGAAGCACTTCTTTTAGATGCATGAGAGCTTTAATGCAATTATTTATTTATTTTAAACCCTGTTTACAGTACAGTTTTTAGGAAAATATGTTTGTTTTACATGTGTGTACTGTGCTACAAATCAGAATGGAATCAGCGGGATTTACCCCTAGGTAAGAGGACACAGAATAAATTGGAGAATAAATTCCTTTGGACCCTGCTGTAAATAGATTCAAAGAAACACGGGGTGGGTTGGGCTGTAATTTTTGCTGGATTGAATGGTGCCGATAGATTTTCAAACCAACTGTTTCATTTTGTGGTGTTTCTTTTTCAATCCTACTAATCTTGAGAGAAGATCATGAGGAAACTTTAAATGTTGTGACCAAAATAAAATGAGAGGTCTTTTAATCTTCCCAACAGACATACACACATTTATACATACATGCAGGCTGGAGAGTTTCAGTGATGAAAGAAAAGGAAAACTATTGGGAGGGGGAGGGGGAGTTAATTTTATTAAGCTCAATGGGAACTTAATCCAGAGTACTAGTAAACAAATCTTGGGTGAAGGTATGTATGTGGACGTTCACATATCCAAATACCCAAAGGAAAGGAGGGGGAAAGGGAAGAGAAAGGTAAAAGGAAAAGGAAAGGAAGTAGTGTGAAGGAATCAAACAACTGAGTCATATACAAAGCACCCCACGGGAATGCTGTTGGGCAGTTATAATGAAAGGAAAACAAGAGAAGTATCTGTTTATATGAATATGCAGAGAGATGTACGGTATATCTGTATTTATGCCAATAAAAAGAAAAAAACACTAGTTGTGTAACTGAAAATAATGCAATACACTGAAGATATGACCATAGTGCAAATGTCTTTTTGTAGCAATGTGACTTCAGAGTGTGGCAACAATGTGGGTTTCAAGCATCAATTTGGATTGAAACATGTGCATGTGACTGTAACGGGATCAAACAGGGGCAGAAAACTGTGCGCTGGAACTGGGACATAGCCCTCGAGTGAATTCGGTTTACGTTCCTTTCTGATTGTGTTCTCTTTTTTTTGTACATTGACATAAAGCTTCTTATACTGTTTCTTTAGCTTACGGCTTCTTTGATTATATGTCTAGGAACAGAAATGTTTCTAAATTCTTGTTTCTTGCAAAAACATTAAATGTGAGGGAGGAAAGGAGGGGGTACTTCTCCAAATGTGGTTTCAGCAATGCTAGGTAAATTACTAATAAAATGGCCCTTCTGATTGCTCGTTTTAAATTGTTATAAATTTATTTACTTAATTAATCCATCGTCTGCCTGTCTCCCAATGTGAAACCCAAAGTATTTTATGACTTTATAGCATGGGGCTTTTTTAGCGCCCTATGACACTTCCTTGCCAGCCCAATGATGGATGGGCATAATGCTCATCACACAATGTTACTGAACTTAAGGTGGAGGCCCCACCCACAACTGGAGCGGAAGCTTTCCTCCAAACATGGGAGTCTTCCCATGTTGTGATGATTCCAATGGAATCAGCACAGATCCATACCACTTCGGCAATGCTTCCCCTGTGTGTTGGGGAAAGTGTTGCCACGACACTCATCCCTGCTGTTTCACCAAAGAGGCTGGTGAAATGGCATGGGGGAGGGGGAATCCCCTGTGTGACAAAACCCTTACAGAAGAAATTAAAACAATATTACTCTAAATCAATATATAGTTCAAAAATGAAAAGAAACAATTCGTTAAATAAATAATCTTTGCCTGACTGTGAAATGGGTACAGAGAGGGGGCCAATTTAGACTCCCATGAGAAACATTCCATGGCCCTGGAGCACCCACTGAGATTACCCTCTCCCATGTTCTTGCTAAAGATATTTACCTGCTAAATGCTTCAGCTAGGGTTGGAAACATCTTACTTGTGGGCCAATGCAGACTTTGAGGCCTCTTAATTCCTATTTCTAGCATCTTACAATGTCACAACTCATTAAACCATTCCAAAAGGAGGGATTGGATTTGCAAATCTATCTGCTGGTAGTTGTGACTCCATTCACTAATGGAATATGGCCCTCAACAGATTACAGCTGAGGTAATGAAGACCTCATCATAAAAAGTAGGCTAGGCAGTTTCCACACTACTTTATATTCACACTCACTGTTTTCATTTTTCAGATTCAGCAAAGTAGCATAATAATGATTTATTCTCACAGTGCTGAGATACAAACATATTAGGTATTTGCATACAAACACTCTATGAACACTAATCTTTCATTAGGATGCTGATATTGCTGTGGAACCCAACATTAAAAGTTCAATATAAGCAGTAATTCAGACACCATAGATAGCTGAAAAAGCAATTGTTCTCTCTCTCCAATCTAATCAGGCATTTCGGATAAAAATAAATAGTTATATTGATCACCCTAATGCTAAAACTTTTCAATCATCCAAAGGGGAGCATTCAAAACAGAGGTACACACAGTTGGTTAGTTATTGAAATATTTCTACATCACTTGTCATTTACATCACTTGACATTGGCTTTGCAGGTATTCAGAACATTACCATAAACCCCTCCCCACTCAGCAATCTATAGGTAAAGGTAAATGTAAAGGTTTCCCCGAACATTAAGTCTCGTCATGTCCAACTCTGGAAGGTGGTGCTGATCTCCCGTTTCTAAACCGAAGAGCCGACATTGTGCATAGACACCTCCTAGGTCATGTGGCCAGCATGACTGCATGGAGTGCCGTTACCTTCCCACAGAAGCAGTACCTATTGATCTATTCACATTTGTATGTTTTTGAACTGCTAGGTTAGCAGAAGCTGGGCCTACCAGGGAGAGCTCACTCCACTCCACGGATTTGAACTGCCTTTCAGTCAGCAAGTTCAGCTGCTCAGTGATTTAACCCGCTGTGCCACCAGGGTGCCCAACCAGCAGTCTTAGGGATGATGAACAAAGAAAAAACACAAAAATCTTTAGCAAGAACTGGGAGCCATTTCTAATTTTTGTATGAAAAAAAGAGAAAGGCTTTTATAGAAGGCTTCATAATTTAATCTGTTAGTATCTGTGTAGAGAATTTATAAATAATAACTATATACTAGAAGGAAGAATAGAAAAAACTTTGAAATGGAAGAAGAATGAAATAATAAATGAATGTATCCAACCCAAGGGATGGGAAGTCACCAAAATGGAAGAAGTGGGAGGAAGGGAGGGTATAACCAAATACGAATATTGTATAGATGTTAGGTAGTATTGCATTGGTTTGTGTGTGTGTGTGTGTGTGTGTATGTGTGTGTTTCATTGTTTTTGATGAATGTTTGTTTGTTTGTTTGTTTGTGGTATTTGTATACTGCCCTTCTCAACCCTGAAGGGGACTCAGGATGGTTAACAGTGTTGGGAATAATTCAATGCCATCGATAAAAAACAGTATAAAACATCAAAATTGACCCTCCCCTGATAAAACATTAAACATTATTAAATACAGCACATAAAATAGCATCACATATCACACAAAGACATAGCAATTGTCCGTAAACAGTCCTGGGTCATTGCACTTTCAGCTTTAACTTTAAATATTCCTATGATGGGCCAAACGCTTTATTCCACAGCCAGGTCTTTAGCTGTCTCCTAAAGGTCAGGAGGAAGGGGCTGACCTGATCTCACTTGAGACGGAGTTCCACATCCATGGGGCCACCACCGAGGAGGCCCTGTTTTTCATTCCCACCAGCCGGTGAGGCCGAGAACAGGACCTCCCTGGAAGATTTTAATCCATGTAAATTGAAAATAAAAGAACATAAAAGACCTGCTACTATTTGCTAGTTCCTTCTTTTTTTAAAAAAAATAGTGTTTTGAGCATAGCAATGTAAGGTGATGCAGCTTAAGTTTGTCATGAATAATGTGTCTTCTCTAAAGATGGAGAAAGTCTGAATCCAGCACATTTGGAATAGAAAAGCTCCTACACACATGTTGGTAAAAACTGTAAGTGCACATATGGGAAGAGATGCACAAACAGCATTGCTTCCTCTCACATTGAAATGGGTGGGGCACCCACTTGTGCAGGAAATCCATCTTGTACCTGAACACACAGGAGGCTCTCATTCTGAGCACTAGTGCAGTTTTATGCATTAGTATGGTTTCATACACTTATTACTTTGTTCAATAACCTGCTGCCTTTTCCCTTTCCGCAGTGGCATGGCCGAGCAGCCAGCTTTGACAGCCAAGGTTCCTGCCCCTCTCCCAAACCACCTCAGACGCCATGATACATCGGAAGATGAATACAATGGGACTCAGCCAATTCCTCTCATTTGGAGTTGGTGTTTTACCATGTGTCCAGAATTCTAAAGCAACCTGTTGCTGAATAGCTGAAGAACCGGACACCAGAGACTGAGAAGAGTGACAAAAGGCAGCAGAATTGTTTTGTGGTCATATTTGTCTAAGTTATTTATGTCTCTCTCAAGGTGATGTTCTCTGTGGTTTTTACTTTTTGGACATAGCTGCCTATAGGGTACGGGTTTGACAAATGAGACATAGGCTGGAATTCTGGCCTGTAAAATAACATGTAAAATAGCTATGTGTACATGTGTGAAAAAGAATGAATAGTAGAGAAGTATTGGCATTAGGCCAGTTTAAGGTGGAAAGTGAGATTGAAAACACGAGAAGGTTTTGGTAAGACTCCTTGTGTCATGTGAAGACCCTTTGTTATTGTACACAGTGACACATTACAGGTTTTCTTCTTCATAATGTGATGTTCATGGAGTCTGTGAAATGTGCATCCCAGCCTGCCCTATGGTGTTTTTTAAAGAGTTGCTAATTCCTCAGGGAAAAAAATAACAATTTTTCTGTACTTATGTTCTCTTGAGAACCTTTTGCATGAGCTCTGTTGCTTTGGGTCCTTCCCAGTCCTGCTGCAGTTCAAGAACTGGTCACAGCTTTGTGATTTAAACATCAGTCTCTCCCTTCCAAAACCACTTGATTCCCACCCATATTCCTGCTTAATTCTTGAAAATTGTGAAAATGGACGAATTTGCAAAATTATTGTGCTCTTCTGCTCTATTTTGTGAAGGAGGATTTTTAATAGAGCCTCTTTTTTCTTTAGTCTATCTTCTGCCAGAAAAATAAACTGAAATCATTTGCCTCAAATCAAGTGAGATTTGTAACATTTGGCACATTCAATTTTCCCTATAAGCTTGAAAGGGTAAAAATAAATTTGCAAAAACTGAAAAGACTACTCTATATACTCATGTATACAGAAATTTTATTTTTTAAATCAACTCAAAAATCCTGTGTTGACTTATCCATAGGGCAATGTGAATACTGTACCTTAACTCACATTTTAAAAAAGGAACCATCTACTTCTCTGAGCAGAATAGCAAAAGGTTAGAGCATAGTCTGTTTCCAGAGACCTAAAAGAAGAACCCACCTCCTCTACTCTACCTGTCATTGTGCCATTCCTGCCTTTTTTGAATGGTTGGGTAGGGAAATGGCAGTGGCTGCCAGAGGAGGCTGGGATCCTGAGACAACAATGATGCTTTCCCCTCAATGGGTCATGCCAAATATCCATAATGATAGTCCCCAAACCTGCCCTCGACTTATATATGAGGTCAGAATACATGAGTATATATGGTATGATGAAGTAGAGTTCTAAAATAATTATTTATGACCAGTTCAAATATCTTTATTTGTCAGATCACAAGGCTGTCACATGGCATTCTTCTTGGCCTAGTCTTGAGGGTGCTAACAACTGCATGTCACAATACTGCAGGGACTCCCATTCTAATGCCATTCTGGCTTGCATAGCTAAAAGTGCAGTTGCTTTGGAGCATTTGCTGCTCTTCTCCTTCCCCTGTACTGGATTATTTTCTTATAGTGCAGTATCCACATGCAGCATCCCATGGATTATACAAGACTGACATAGCTATCTCTGGGAACTTAATATGTTAGGTTTGCTTGTCTGTTTCAATGACTCTTCCTAAATCACCTTTTTAAACAATTCTGTTTATTTTCCTAGGAGGGCAAGCACTGCTACATGTTCCCTCCACAGCCAAACAGCATGACTGCAAGAATCTCATGCTGTGAATTTTAGCAAGTGCTTTTTTCAATGCCGTTTCTAAAAGTCAGATTATATTGAATCTAATTCTGCTCAGGCCTGGTACATACTTTACCTCCAATGTCATGGCAACTTCTATAACATATCTGTTTCTATGCCTCTCTTGGTAATCATTGAAAGAGAATTGAAGTGTTGGTGTAGGTCCTATCCAAAGTTTAGAAAAGCTAGTTTTTGCACAGCAACTTCTAGGATCTCTAAGTCAGCCTGGTTAATGGCCATGCTAGCCGGGGGATTCTGGGAGCTATTGTCCAAAAAAAAGGATGCTTTTCAAGCTCTTCTCCTATCCACACCATTTCCCTAAGAAATATATGTAGCTTGCTTAGCATTAACTTTTGGCAAATAGCTAATATAGGCAGTGGAGGAGTTGAAGGATCTAGTGCAGATGTTGCCTTATAATTCAATACGTGGAATCAATTTTTTTAAAAAGATAAAATATACCAATACAGTTGATCCTAAATAAAAATGTTCGCTCACAGGACTTTCATTAACATTCATCCTGGCATTAATACTGAATTTTAAACATGAACATCTAAAATAGCTAAACCCATTTAATGAGATCACAATCCTAGGTCCAGTTCTGCAAAAGAAAAAGAAAAAGAAAAAGTTGCTGGAGGCAACATTATCTCATCTCATACAGAGTTTGGGAAAATGCTTTTTAAAAAAAAAAAAACTATCACTTCCAGAATCCCTCTCAAACTAGGCTAATTATGTTTACAGATCCTCCATTATTGTGCTGATTCATCTATATCCATTGCTAGCAGAGGGTAATCAGTGGATCTACCATTGTATTTAATTGCTGCGCTTCCTAAAATTGCTCTGAGTTGAATGGAATTCAGTCAGTGCCAAACTAGGGTCTAGTGCCAAACCAGTGTCAGAGCTGTTATAGGAAGTGCAGAGGAGAAATCTTAAATGTCCCTGCAGCACTGGATCCTCCAGACAGCCTGGTTGCTAGTTTTAACCAGTAACTGCAGCAACAGAATTTACCTAAATGTTGTCTTGCTATTCAGCAACCAATACAATGTTTCTTCTCTAGCTGTACAAGCAATTAGCTTTAGGTCATTGTTTTCTATGGGCCTTAACTATGAGATAGATGGCAGTCAATATCTTTTGCTTATAGGTTCTACTATGCTTTCCATGCATAACAAGCTTGTTGCAGTTTCTTTTGAGTGATATTTGAAATATTTTATCTTTTACCTTGAAATGATTATTACCTGGAATGGCAGAAGTGTTCTCACACTGTCATTGTACATTTCTAGTCAACCGGGTTAGTAGAGAATTGAACCCAACAAATGAAACGAGGAGGGGGAACCCTCCCTGAAATCCAACCTCACCCATTAGCCACACTCTATGTTAATGTTCTGACTCACTGATCTATAAACTTTCCAGACTTGTGTATATAACTTTGCAGGGAAATTTTGTTCAGTGAGAGACCAATTTGTTCTAGCTCCTACTACACCTTGTGTCTTAATTTTCTCTGTATGTGCCACATGCTGCAGGAGCATCAGTCTAATAAAATGACTTTTTTGAAACCTCTTGGCTTGGGCAGTTGTACGATTCTTATTCTTGCTCCCTCTCATACAGAGTCAGTGATGGAGGAAACCAGATCTGAACCCCCACTAGAAAAACAGAAGCCGGATGGACATCTGTCAGGGGTGCTTTGAATGCAGTTTTCTTGCTTCTTGGGAGGGGATTGGACTGAATGGCCCACAAGGTCTCTTCCAACTCTATGATTCTATGGTTCTAAAAGATGAATAAAATAAGGCGGTTTCACTTTACATATGAGCCAATGTCACCCACTGGACAAACTGATTAAAACCAGTAAAGTAGGAAGAAGAAAATACCATACTACCACTAACAGCGGTGAAAGCCACAGTCCTGATTTTGCCTATTAAAAGAGATGTGTGTTGATGACTCTTGGAGGTCTCTCATCCACAGAGTTGCTATAAATCAAAGTTGACTTAAAGACATGTATCAACACCAAGTTTAAAAAGATAATGGTCTTCTTTTTCTACTGTAGTGAAGAAATGAAATACTTCTTTGGTCTAGCAAACATTTCCTTGTGTTCAGATTTTAAAAGTCAGGGCAAGAGAGAAGGCAGCAATATAGAAGGTATGTCCATAGTTCTTCCATCCACATCCTTGCAAAAGTGTGACATGCTTCTTGCTGGGTATTTCTGTTTCTCCTGACCCTAAAAACTGGAGATAATTTGAGCAGGGTGATCTCATGTCCCTGGTGATTTGGGTGATACAAAGTCTGCTAGGTTGTTCCAATCTCAACAGAAGCAGCTTTAAGATTAATAAACTTGTTTAGATGCTTGTCAGCTAAAATGATTAATTATACTTCCTAGAACAACATTATAGCTCGGGGTTATTATAACTGTTTTTGGTAAAATCTTTGGGTTTTTTGCAATTTCTCTTGAAATCAAAACACAAATTGGGACCAGTAGAAAGCTTTGGTGTTTTAAATGCCTACTTCACCAGAACAAACCTATTCTCAGTGTACAGATACAAACATCTTTCTTCCAGTCCATGTGAAAACTATGACAAAGTCCTTTTATCTTACTTTTTAAAGATTACATGTGCATATAGATTTCTGTATTATCTCTTACAATGTAGGACCTGTTTATTGAATGTTAAAATATTCATCCTCCCTTCTGAGTCACAGAACCTCCAAAGCTACAACAGTTATAAGCACAGACCATTATTTAAAACAATGAAGGCCATTGGGGGAAAATATATCAGAAGTTATATCTGCCAAGTGTAAACTCAAAAAATAAACCAAGGAAACAACAAAAAGCAGCTGAGCAGGGACACCACGAGGGCTCTATCCCCATGGTTTTCCATATGCTTGGTCCTATTCCAGGCCAGCAATCTAGCAACTGGACTATCTTTCAGACATTATTCAGTGGCAAACGTATGTGTTCTATTCTTTTAAAATCTACCAAATGGGATCTTATCAAAGCACAGATAACCACAACTAAGCTGTCTTTCTCTAGAAGGGACCAGAAACATCTATACCAACTTAAGTTGGTGGGATATACTTCATACAACTTGGCTCTCTAATGACAATCCCAAATCTAGGGATATACTAAAAGTGCAAACCTAATCCTGCACTTGCAATGCAACCTCATTCTGTTTCCAGGTATATGAAATAACAAATCAATAACACTGCAATGAGGAATAATCTTCAATTCCATTCCTAAATCAGGTCATGGTTCAGCATCTCCACACTGGAATTTGGTGAAAAGCAGTTATAGAGATGAATCACTGTGTCTCTCATTATTATGCCATTCATTCTCATTCTTTGGATGGATTCAACTAGTAGTTCAATGCAGAGGTGAATGGAGGATTTGCAATAAACTACAAATCCTGTGGGACAGGGCAGCATTATCCAAGACTTACCTTCCAAAAACCAGTAATCCAGTGAGAAGAAACAATTAAGAATAGTATCCCTACCACCCCCCTTTAAAATATCTACTCAGTATGATGTCAAAAGCTGTTGAGAGATTCAGACAAATTAGTCTCATGATTCCCATGTTCTTGCCTAGCAACTGCTATCCATTAGAGAAGAACCAAAACTCTTTCTGTGCCAGGTGCCAGCCTGAAGCCACAATGAAAAGAATCTAGATAACCAGTTGTCATCCAAGGGCAACCATCCACTTGAGCTTCATGCCCAGGAGGGATATCTCAGTTACCAACCATAACATATCATAAGGATTAGAATGGCAGTGGTGCGATGTAGCTGAAGTTTGTAGGACCAAAGCACTGTGATATTTTGACTGGCAGACTATATGGATAAGGTCAATTCTGGATTGTGTTTTCCTATTTTGACCAATCTCGTTTCCTCTATTTTTATTATCTAATTCTTTGATCCAATGGGCATCTTAATCATTTATTTGCAGGCGAGGAGCATAGATTATATCCCAAAGAACATAATATAAAATTAGTTCCTCCTGAATGAAGTCTTGACATTTCCAGGGGAAAAGGTGGAATGAGGGATTATAAAGGATTAAGTACATAGATTGCTCTCATAGTTGTTAGGCTTAGAAAATTACTTTTTATGGAGTACAGCTCATTGAATCCCATGCTGTCATGCTCACTGGGCATGCTGATCAGAGATTTTGAGAGGCATAGTTTCAAAAGTGAACTGCTGTAAGTTCTTGAACTTCCCTAATGCAGGCATAGCTGAAATGGCTCTTGAAGATTCAGCAGTAAAGGTGATGGGCTCCATTTGGCTAAATATAATAACCACAAACAAAGATATAGAACAATATGTGGAATTGAGTAGACCTCTACGTTATTGGTTACAGATTAAATGACTTAGCTTATCATGAAGCCAGTCCCCACCATTGTCTTACTTGTTTGCCGAACGATAGACAAAACTTCACCCAGCCCACATGCTGGGAATACTGAAGAGGGAGATATAGGATTCCACTTGGGTAGATGCCACTGTATTGTTCTCTTGCCATCTGGGAATGGAGAAAAACAAAGCACCACCAAAGTGGACATAACCATGAAAGGGACCTTCCTACACTGAGTATGACAAGTCCATAGCCCTATATCATGTTGCTCCCACAACTGAATCCAGTCAAATGCTAAACTATCCCTAGGTTGTGACAAATAAGAATTTCTGTATGTTTCATTCAGAGAACAAGCAACAAGAACCCAAAAGAATGAAAGGAAAGGAGGAAGATAATTGGACTCCAACCACCTGAGAATTCATATTTTATGTGCCCTGGGATGGAATGGGGTAAAATGTCTGCTCTTTCCTTGGAAATGCTCTATTTTTTACTTGTAAATTTTCCTACCACTTCCCAAATGCCTATGATAGGCATAGCCACTGGGATGGGGAAACTGCCCTGCTTGAATAAGGTGTTACCTGGCCATTGCTCTTCCTCTTCTAGCAAACTGTAAATGGAGACATTCTTTTCAGCTCTCTGCTTCTACACAAGTCTCATAATGCATATGGTGCCTAAGGCAAAATAGAAAAGAAAGGAATCATTTTGTTAAAGATCACTGTAATGCCACGTAAGATCAGTCTGAAACTTCAGAAAGGGAGCAACATTAAAAATGAGAAGAGTTTTGTTTGACACATGTTCAGTGTTATATGTGTCATTTTGTAAACATCCACTTTCCTATGCCTCTCTTGTGCTGCATGACAGCTATAATTCTTTTTTTTAATCTGTCTTGTGACTTGAGAGTGATAAATCTGCTGAAACCAATGAAGCACCAAGAAGAGAGATCATGTGTGCTGACAGAGTTTTCTCCAATTGGATCATTTTTCTAACATCCAATTCCTCCTTATGTGTGAAAGACTGGTATCCAAAGGAGAGAAGGAAGCGGGGCTGTGGAAATAAAGATTTGTCCAGTTGTCCTTTTAACATACAAACAAATGACATATATGATAAAGATAACAAAATAGGTATCATGTGTGAACAACTGTTTGTCCAGTTGTTCACACATCATAAAGGATAATAAAGGACTTAATACTACCCTATGCATGCCTAGATCCTAAATATATTCATAGAGAGAAAGCCCAAATGGGGTAGTGTTTTGAATATTAGACTCCAGTTCTGTGCCCATGATTAATGAT